TTTTTGGGGGGCGAGGAGTACCCCCTCTTATGTATCTATGTGTGTGTGATACATTAAAGACCTTTCTATAACAAAGGCAGCAGTCTTTGATTTCAGCAAACAAGGTTGTGTCATCTGCATGTCACAGCTTGTTAATGAGTCATCCTCTAATCCTCATACTGTTATTCATAGGGTCTAATTTCTTGGATTATATACTCAGTATGCAAATTGAGTAAGCCTAATTAAAAGCTGCCACTCTGACCCACACTGTTCCTACTGTTGAACCCAAAGATGACCTTGTTCTGTGCCAAGGACTGCCTCTTCGTCTGGGTACTGGTTCTGCTTACGCATGAGGAAGGACTCTGGGCGTCATGTTTGCTGCGATGTCGATTTTAGAACTCACTGCCATTTAGTTGATTCAAGTTCCCCCCAAAATAACATGCACAGTAAAGGCCCGAGGAAAATTCAGCATGTGAAGTTCTATCACAAAATACAAAGCTTCTTGTTAAGCAAGGGGGTGGGGCGCGAAGGGAGGTGGGGGGCACGCGGAGACCTGCCTGGGATTTTGTATGCTTGCAGTGTTAAGGACTTTCACAAGCAAAGTTTGTAATATTTAACAGTATCAAATTTTGCAGAAAAATTAAAGGGTGCGCTGGATTAAGGGAGTGGGTAGAATCACAGTCTTCCTTATAAAGCATTTTTCTTTGGGGGTGGGGCTGATGCTTTGATGATAGAGGGCTCACCCATCTATAGCAATCTGCTCCCACAAGGTGGTCTTGGAATAAGTGGTTTCTCCCTAGAAGCAATCTATTCTTAAAGGAAGGTGTTTTCCCTCCAGGAAGAATGGGTGTTAGAGTGTGAAGATTTCCCAAATTTAAGAATGCGAAGATTTCCCGAGCTATTTTGAGGAACAGTCACATCCCTGCTATATCTTTGAATGCCTAACGAGCACATGTAATTGTCCAGTTGCTCATTAAAACCAAGGCATAGGAAGTGTCCGGATTTGGCTTCCGCCCTCCTCTGTGTAGGTGACCATAATGCTAATGATTTGGGGGCACTAGGCCAAGGGCTCCCAGGTGGGGAGGTAGAGTGACCCACAGAACTTTCTAGGAGCAAAGCAAGGCTGAGGGCTCTTCCTTCCCTGACAACTACAGTCTTGCCCCTTTTAGGGGTTCTCACTCTGAAGGCTTAGTAGAGCCAGTCTAGGCAAGAGTCCGTGTTACAAATGACGCTGTCTTACAAAAAAGGCTTTGAAGGGTACACTCATTCTTGGAGCTGCCTGCATATGCAAATTATTAGACCTCTTCTTTTATTTGTTTATTTATTTTAAAAAATCATTTTATTGGCGGCTCTTGTAACAATTCATCTATCAATTGTATCCATGCATCAATTGTATCAAGCACATTTGTACATATGCTGCCATCATCAGTTCTAAACATTTTCTGCTTGAACCCTTGGTATCAGCTCTTTTTTCCCTCCTTCCCCCACCCTTGTGAACCGTTAATTACAAATTATTATTATTTTCATATCTTATACTGACTGCTGTCTCCCTTCACCCATGTTTCTGTTGTTCTTCCCCTTTGGGTGTGTGGGGTGTGTGTGTTATACGTTCATAACTGCTATCAGTTCCCCTTTTTCGGCTCCACCCTCTTGGTATCCCTACTCCCATTTCTGTTCCTGAGGGGTTAATCTGTCCTGGATTCCACGTATTGAGAGCTCTTGTTTGTACCAGTGTACATGCTCCGGTCTAGCCAGGTTTGTAAGGTAGAGTTGGGGGTCATGATCTTGGGGGTGAGGAAGCCTCAAGGAACCAGAGGAATACTGTGTGTTTCCTTGGTGCTATACCGCACCCTGGCAAACTCATCCCTTTCTAGTGACTGTTCTGTGAGAAGATGTCCAATTGTCTACCGATGGGTTTGGGGGTATGGGGACTCTACTCCAACCTCCCTTGTTCTCAGCAAGATGATGATTTGTTTCCTTCCGACCTTCTGATACCTGCTACCTGGTCTTGACCTCTTCTGATGAAAGCTGATAGGCCTAACAAAAAAAGAGAAAAGATGATTTTGAATGCATTCACAGACTTGTTATTTAAGTAAGAGGTTCTAATAAATGCCTCCTAAAGCCTAAACAGGCACCGAGAAAGAACTGTAGCAGAAGTGCTGACTGTTGACTGCAGTTGGCTTCCTGTGCCCTTAACAAATATGTCTCCATAGCACCCTCGCATTGCCCCGACTCTTCTGCGCAGGCGTCAGCCCGCCCCTTTCCGCATCACATGACCCAACACCGGCATGAACTACGGCTCCTGGAAGGGGCCAGCCCCGGCCGTTCTCCAGTCTCTCTCGGCCCGCTGAGGGCCGCTCCGGCC